TTCTCCCCGAGCCTGCGTGGGTTTTCTCCGGGTACTCCGGTTTCCTCCCACGTTCTAAAAACATGTACACATCGTAATTGTTGTTCCGGTGACTCCCGTACTCGAAATTCTTTGTGTTGTACTTCAAGTTCTTGTGGACCGACGACCCAAAAAAGCTCCATATTGTCCTTCTCCCCGAGCCTGTGTGGGTTTTCTCCGGGTACTCCGGTTTCCTCCCACATTCCAAAAACATGTACACATTGTAATTGTTGTTCCGGTGACTCCCATACTCGAAATTCTATGTGTTGTACTTCTAGTTCTTGTGGACCGACTACCCAAAAAGCTCCATATTGTCGACCTTGATCCTGTTCCTGTTTTCTACAACGTCCACAGAGTTGCACATTAACGATACCTTGAGCGTATGTAATCTAAAGAAGGCGTAAAATCAGACCCTAGTCGGCTTCCCGATATTTAATTATTTATTCTCTTTATTTATTTATTATTATTAATATTTTTTTTTATTTTTTTTATGACGACTCAAACGAATGGTTCTCATGAACAGGAAGTGGATGTCATCCGTGTCACGGTCGCCGTCCGCCGCAACGCCGGCGCCGGCATTAGTCCATATGAAAGTAACCCTGATGTAAATCGCCACCTTGTTTCAGATCTGGTGGGATATAATCCACACAGTGTTTACCCCTTTTTCGCCTCCCACTCCCTTCCTCAATCCTGCGGTCAGCTGTGAACTGTTGCCCCGGCGACCAGGGCAAGGCCGCTGGCAGCCAATGAAAGTGCGGGCAAGGCCGACTTGGCCAAGAAGGGGCCGTTTGCCTGCGCCGCTCGTTAGCACGACCGCGGTGGTAGCGAGGCCTCGCCAGTAAAACCTCCGTCCCCGAATACCTCATCCTGTGATGCTTTTTGATTGCGGATTCGCCAATCGAGCCGCAAGAATACCGCTTCCTTTGAACTCAGGGCTACCGATTCTCCCGATGTCGTGGATTAATGGGAGATATCGTGGCTCCGGTTTTTTCGTCAACGTCTTCATCGGGCATCAATTTCAGCTTGCTGCTCGGCAGCGGCTTCTTCGCCGTCTCCCCCCTCACTAATTTCGAGTCTGTGTCTCTGCTCCAGATTCCCCGGACTCAGGACCATCATCCAGTGAGACCAGGGGAACAACCTACTCGGCCCCTGTGGGGCTTTCAGGTAAATATCTTCATTGCGTCCTCCATAATTGTTCCGCAATTGTAAGACAAGGAGAAGACGATGGAGGGCGGTGTTTGGAACGGTCTCTGTCTTCTTTTCATGTGCAAATCCAAAGTTCTCTTTTTTCCAGGCCCTAGTTTGGGGCTTCCTCGGCTTTCCTTTCCCATAATCCTCTTTGGCCGCCTTCCCAAACCGGCGCCGCGTCCGCGGGCAGAGTTGTTCTCTCTGGGCCTTCAGATGGTTCTCATTACAGGGCCCTTTTAAAGCCTGTTTTATGTCAGTTGGTGTTTGCTGCCCATATTCCAGCCGCACCCCCCCCCCCCACACACACACACACACTTACTCCACAGAGCCACCACCGCCCTCAACCCGCCTTTGTTTGGTGGCGACGGAGACCCAGAATCGGTCTCATTCTGGACATTAAAGTCGTCCTTGCGCGTGTTAGCTTGACAGATTTTACTTTAAACTGTGAAATCCGAGAACCGAGGTACTAGGGAGGAGGGGTGAGGGCACCCGCAACCCCCCACACTACTTATTGCCGCCGCTCGTTCTTGAACGGGGTGTGCCCTCCTCCCCTGGTTTCCTTCCTGGCAGCAACCGGCTCTGTGAATGGGCCTCCTCAGCAAAGATGGCAGAAAAGCGGTGCCCTCATGGTTTTCCCTGGCAACCCGCTGTACCCCCCCCCCCTCCTCCAGTTCCTCTCACCTCCCCTGCGCCCTCCCTCTGGGGCCCTGACAAAAGAAACATGGCTCTCCCAGAAGGCCTGCTGCTGACCTTCCAGTTCCCTCAATCGCCCCTTTTTTTATGTTCCCCTCCAGACAGAGGAAGAGGGGAGGCGGGGCAGCAAGGGAAGTTTTTTTTTTTCTTTCAGAGGGTGTCTGGGGGTGCATATGAGTCGAATATTCATTAATTGTGGTGCACGACCCACAAACTTGAGGAAAAGAGCGATGCGGGCGACAAGGAGTTAAACAAGCTGCCGCCACAGTGACAAGCGCAAATGCAAAGTGGGCTGCCTGCCAGGCTAGTGGCTCTGTAGTGGCCTCTCGCCGCCTCGCGTCATCCGCTTGGAACACGGCACAGAACAGGGAGGGACAGTTGGGGAAGTGAAAGAGGGGGGGAGCACTTGATTGAGCGGGTTTCAGTTGACCACAAAAACTGATGAGAGGGATCACCGAGTGTTTTGTGAATGGAGAGAGGCAGGGACTTCAGTACCTCCGCCAAGGAGGTTTTTACTGCAGTTTGTTGCACAAAAACGATTTGCTTCGAGGACTTATTGTCTTCCAGATGCATATAATAGTCTCCGGATGGTTTTGTTTCGATGACTAGAAATATGTTAGCATTAGCATTCTCCACATGAATTCTCCACAAAACCTTTGTTTGCTGGTTTGTGTATATTGCTAGCTTCATTAGCATAGTATTTTCCCAACATTAATCCTCTCCGAAATGTTTTTTTAGTTTGCAGAACTGCGCAAAAATCAACCTAGACAATAGACATGTAGCGTGAGGGCTTAGAATCCACTTTTTTTAGTACAGCTACATAGATAATATTACTGTTTCAGAATTGTTTCCATCTCTAGCATGGTTAGCATAGCATTTTCAGACATTAACTCTACCTGGGAAAATTGTTAGTTTGCTGAATTTTGCTACTAACAACAAATTATTACGATAGGTTGGGGGATCGTAGTAAATTCTTAGAAATGATCAGTTTTGTTATTTATAGCTGTGTTTAGCTTTGTTAGCATAGCATTTTCCCAGTTGTTTGTTTAGTGAATTATGCATCATAGCATTTTCCAAGACAACAAAACGGTTGCTTCAGGGGAACCACCACAGGATTTATATGTTAGTACCAAGGTTGTTTTTGTTTGTTCACCTTTGGTAGCTTTATGAGCATAGCATTTCACCTAATTTCTCAGTGCATAACACACCAATCCCAATGACACAAGTGGGGCCGCCGGAAAATCAACGTCTGCGTCTAATCTGATCCAAATTAGGATTGTCTGGCCTTCCTTGGCAGAGGTCCGTGCTGGATTTAGCATCCGCGCCGGCTTTTTCTCCACTCCCCCACGTGGGTTCCTGTGCACAGAGCCCGCGCCCACGTCTGCTTCTGTTTTTAACGAGAATTGATGAGAGGGCTGTTGAAATTCTGGCAATGGGCCCGAATGCCCGGCGTGACGCAGGCGTGGGCCGCCCCATATGCGTGTGTATGTATGTGCGTTGAGGTGCGCTGTCTGAAATATTCGTCTTTGGGGAAGAGAGTCTTCAACTGGACATTTTGGGTTTGTTTTTTTGCGCTCCTGGATTCAGGCAATGTTTTTATTTGGACCCTGTTAACTTCTTATCGGTGTGCCAGTGGCATGCCTGCTGGTGCCACCCGGGACCGACTGGGATCCAGTCAGGCTGCGATGTCTCACACACACACACACACACACACACACACACACACACACACACACACACACACACATGCACAAGGATAAAATGACCATGGTGCAACACCTTGGCATGCTGCCCACTGTCACACAGGCGCTTCCTCCCGAAGCTTTTTTAAATTTAGCTACATGTTATTTATTTATTTTTTACATTTTTTTTTTTGTCACCTCACCCTGCAAGCTCCTCTGCGGGAAATATGATAATTGCTTTTTTTTTTTGTTTAGTTTACTGTGTTTTTTTTAGCTTCTTTTTACACTTCACATATTTTTGCCCAAATACTTTTGTCCATAATAAACATGTGATGTCACATTATTTTTCTCATCCATTTTTTTTTTTTTGTTATGTAGGTTAAGTTCCTCTTGGAGTTGCTTTTTGTCCCGATAGTTTTGTCCAGTGTCACTGTACCCGTTGCCACATATAGAATGACGCCGGCACTTTTTAAAAATTCCATCCTGCTTTCCACATCCCCGTCACAACGTCAATTAGTCTCGGGCTCAATCCGCTGGAGGTGTGAGCTCCATCATCGTCTCCAGCGAGGAGGATTAAATTTAGTCCAGGCTCATTAAATCAAACCCGCTGTCATGACGACTGCCCTATTTTTTTTATATAGTCATTAATGACTGGAAGTAAAGTGTCACCCTCATAACCCAGTCATTTTTTTTTTTTTTTTTTAATCCGGAAACTTACTTCCAACTCGACTGGAGAACAGAGCGCCCTCAGTGTTCCTCCGAGTTCCAGCTCCTGCGCTCTCGGCATTCCCGCCTTGTTTGGGTTAGCGGCGAGAGGAAAGGGCTGCGCAGGATATGACCTCATGTCTTTGAGCCGGCGGGGAAAAGGACTCGCATAAAATAAAAACACACGCACACACACACACACACAAGAGAAGCCGAAAGAAAGAACAACGGAATCTTTTTGTCAGCGTGACTCGCCAGAGCTCAGTTCAGCGAGCACCGGACGATTAAGTTTCCGGTTTTTACTTATTCTTTCGTTTTTTAACCCTCCATTACTTATTTTATAAGAATCAGTGGAAGTCAGGAAGTTCTTTGTGGTCGGTCATAAAACTTCAGCATTAGCATACAAGTGGTCGCAGTTACTGCAAGTAGGCAGCACACAAAAAAAGTGTCAAATGTGGTGTTCCAATGCTTTTGTCCAGCATCTGACACTTTAGCTATATACAATTAGCTAACATTGATACGTCACCTTGTGTTGACCATGGTACAACTTGCACTTTAGTTTCTGTGAAATGATCCCTAACGGATAACGGAATGCTGTAATAACATTAGTCCAGATGGAAAAATAACCCTTGCGAAGCTTCGAGGCATTGGACATTTTGCCGTGACCTTTTTATGTAATCCGATGAATCGTTGGAGCCCAACTTACTTTTACACTTGCATGACCCGTGTAGTTGTTTGACCCTGGAGCAGATCATTTCTGTTTCCATAATTTCCGATGGGCAAGTATTGACGTCTGAATGTGAGTGAATGGAAGTCAGTAGTCCACCTCCCCAGGAAGTCAGTAGTCCCCCCCCCCCCCCCCCACCCATCCCCCCAGTCCCCATGCAATCCCGATGCCCCGTGTTCCCTTCAAGGAGGCAAGATGGCGTCTTTTGGGCGGAGGCCTTCCACACCTCCTCTGTAATTTTCAGCGGCGTGCGCGAGCGAGCGGAGATGCCGGCCGGGGGCCCTCGCTCCCGAGTCGGGCCGTGGCCGGCGTCTCTCATTACTCCCCCACTTCCTCTCTTTGCGAGGCCGCCAAAGCCGCCTCTTGGCAAGGGGCGACTCCATTTTGGTTTTTGGCCGTCCTCTGTTTTCTCCACCCTGTGTCATTACACCGCGCAAATCGAAAAAACAGTGAGGTTAGGAGGAGGAGGAAGGGGAACGGAATGTGGGCCCGGAGCCGCTTGGGTTGACTCAGTCTTCTCCCATTTTGGGGTGTTTATGGTTACCTTTAAAGAGAGGAGAGGGGAGCATTTTTGGAGGTGAGCCCAGAACAAGTTGGACATTGTTACCTTGGAAGCGCATTCTGACACGACGGAGGCATGGAAGCGGAAATATGTTCATGCGTATGTTTGATTCCTGTGAGGCGCTCCCTCTCAGCCCAGCATCCCGTTCGTTCATTTGTGTATATAGCCCACTGTACCGGGCTTTTTTTTTTTTTTCTCAACAGCCACGAGAAACCGGATTGTAATGACAACAGTGTAACATTGCATAATCACGCATGCACAAAAGGTGTAGCAGTGTTTATTAAAAACACAACAAAAGGCCAGACTCGCTCTGCTGGTTGTCCTTTTTCCCACGCCGCCCGAACGCCACAGGGAGAAAAAAAAAAACGATGGAGGTACATGTCAAAATTATTTTGTACTGACTTTATTGAAGAAACATTTCAGCATTTTGAAGAAAGTGACTTTTGAGGGCTTGATCTCCTAACAATAATGCTTTTTTTGGGGGGGTGGTCTTTTTTTTCACTTTAGTGAGTACAATATGACTTCATTCTTAACTGTTTCTTGTCAAATTACATTTTCTGCACACCATAACTTTTTGTAAACAAACATGACTAACTTTTGGATTTTT